GAAAAATCGAAAAATTGAAAACCGAAAAATAACAAGTCGAAAAAACGAAAAAATTCAAAAATCAAAAACTTTCATATTGAAAAAAAGAAAAATTGGAAAATCAAAACACTGAAGACCCGAAAAACTGAAAAAATAAATAAAATAAAATCCCGAACATGAAACTACAACATAAATACAAAAATTGAAGAAATGAAAAATTTTAAAATTGAAAAATTAAAAATTGAATGAAAACTCGTGAAATCGCAAATTGAAAAGTCGCAAAACCTAAAAACTGAAACATCTAAAAGTTGGAAAATAAGAAAAGTAAAAAATATAAAAATGAAAATTTGAAGAGATCATTTTGAAAAATTGAAGAAACAAAAAGATGTAATTACTGAAATTGAATAAACAAAAAATCACAAAATCGGAACAACGGACAATCGAAAATTTGTAAAAATAAAGAAAATAAAAACCGAAACCAAAAGTGGCCAATCGAAAATTTAAAGAACTCAAAAATGATATCGAAAAACCGAAATATCAAAAATCGAAAAATTGAAAACCAAAACGTTACAAATGGAAAAAATGCAAAAAATCCAAAAACAAAAATTTTCACACTGAAAAAAGAAAAATTTGAAAATCAGAACACTGACAAATAGGAAAATTGAAAAAATTACATCAAAATTGAGAAATCGTGAAACTGCAAAATCTAAAATTCGAAAAATCGAAAAATTGAAAACCGAAAAACTGAGAGAATTAAAAAATCAAAAATTTTCACACTGAAAAAAGAAAAATTTAGAAAATTAAAACACTGAAGAACCGAAAAATCGAAAAAAAATAAAAAACCGAAACATTTAAAAATTGAATGAAAACTCGTGAAATTGTAAACTGAAAAATTGCAAACTCTAAAAACTGAAAAATCTGGAAAATCGGAAAACTGAAAAATTTAAAAATGAAAATGTAATGACATCGTAAAATTGGAGAAACAAAAAAAAATATTAAAAATTGAAAAACTGCAAAACGAACAAATGAAGAAAAGAAAAATTGGCAAAATTAAAACTGGAAAAACAAAAATTATAAAATTACAACAGTGAAAATTCGATAAAATTGTAAAAATAAAAAAAAAACGGAACGAAAAACTGATAAAATTGGACCTCGAGAAATTGAGAAATTGAAAAAATTGGCATTGAAAAACGAAAAATTATGAAACCAAAACATTAAAAAATGAAAAAATTAATTGAAAAATTAAAGAAAACGAAAACTCGGGATATGTAACTGGAAATCCAAAAATGGCACAATTGAAAATTTTAAAAATCGGAAAATTGGGAGACTGAAAAATCGAAAACTAGAAAAAACGAAAAGTTAAAAAATTTGAAAGTTTAAGAACCCAAAAACTGAAAAATTAAGAAAATAAAAACCCCAAACGAAAAACTGCAACTCGAAAAATTGAAGAAATGAAAAACTGAAAAATCGACAAACTGGAAATCGAAAAATTGTCAAATCTAAAAATGAAAACATCCAAAATTTGGAAAATCGGAAACCTGAAAAATTTAAAAATGAAAATGAAATGACATCCTAAAATTGGAGAAACAATAAAAAAGTAAAAAAGAAAAATTGAAAATTTCAAATCGAAGAAATGAAGAAACGAAAAATTAAAAAAATTAAAATTATAAAAACAAAAAGTATAAAATTATTGCATTGAAAAATGGTAAAAAAATTAAAAAATAAAAAACCAAAACGAAAAATTACAAATCTAAAATTTGAATAAATTGAAAATGGAAGTCGAGGCACTTCGTCGACCTTGATGTCGAAAGCGCTCCCAAATGTTGCTTTCATCGAAAAAATTAACATGGCTTAATTGATTTAACTTCTGTCGTAAGAATCCGCCTGAATACGTTAGAATTTTCACTTTTTTTCATTTTTGTTTTTTCAATTTTATACTTTGGCAATTTTCCCATTTTTCGATTAGAAAAATTGCAAAATCGAAAAAATGAAGACAGGAAAAAATTGCAAATCGAAGAACTGAAGAAACTAAAAAATTGAGAAACTCAAAAATAGAAAAAAAATAATTATTCAAAAGCCTGGAAAGAAGAAAAAACAAATCGAATCGAAAATTCGTAAAGTATACATCGAGAAAATGAAAAATTAAAAAGAGAAAAATCGAAAAATCGAATAAATGAAAAATAAAAAAATTCTAAAGTCGTAAAATTGAAATTAAATTATAAATTATTATCGGATAATTGTCTTATTAAAGTGATAATTAGAAAAATTGCAAATCAAAAAGTGAAGAAACGTAAAAAATACACCCTGACTTTGAAATAGGGGCGGAAAAAAAAATCCATTAAAGCTTACTGTAAATGAGGAAAATTGGCAGATTTCGTTTTTGAAATTGCTGCCGCAATTTCAAGAAAAAAATAAAACAAATTGAGTTCAATTTTCATGGGACGCCAATGATTATAATAGTTTTTTTAACTTCCATAGTAACCTAACGATTTATGCTTTCCGAACGTAAGCTAAGGAAGTTTATCAAGTTACCTACGTTTTTTCCAACTTTAATTTCAAACCGTCAGTTTGACATAAATGAATTAATTTTCATTTTAAAATGGCAATGTACACAAATATTGAACGAACCGATATGGTTCTCATTTATGGTGAAGCACGAGGAAATGCTGAAGAAGCCAGGCGGATTTACATGGAACGTTTTTCCCAGCGGCTTGCTCCTGCTGCCGGGACATTTATAAAAAACGTTCAGCATCTGAGGGATCATGGAACTTTTAAGCCACAAACCCAAGATCGGGGACGTGTTAGGACCAGGCAGATCCTAACGTGGAACCCCAAATTCTTCACACGGTTGAAGCTGAACCGGGTATTAGCACTAGGAGACTTGCGGTACGTCATGGTATTTCTCAGTTCATAGCGTGGCGAGCATTAAAAGAACAGGGCTTACACCCGTACCACGTTCAGAAGGTGCAAGCGCTACAACCTGGTGATCCTGCGCGTCGGCAAGTGTTCTGTCGGTGGTTATTACACAAAGCTGAAGAACAACCAAATTTTGTAAATAATTTGTTAACAACTGACGAAGCAGGATTTACAAGAGATGGGGTGTTTAACATGCATAATACCCATGTTTGGGCTGATGAAAATCCTCACGCCATTTGGGAACACCGATTTCAACGAAAGTTTCACGTCAACGTATGGGCAGGACTTGTAGGTGGTCGTCTAATTGCACCTCACGTTTTACCACCTCGTTTAAATGGAGTTAGGTACTTACATTTTTTGGAAAATGTTCTGGTCGACCTTTTAGACGATATTCCCCTAGACGTAAGACAAAATGTGTGGTTTTTACATGATGGGGCACCCCCCCATAATGCTTGTGAAGTGCGGGATTGGCTTGACCATAATTACAACCAACGTTGGATTGGTCGCGGTGGTCCTGTTTTGTGGCCTGCCCGGTCACCAGATTTAAATCCTTGCGATTTCTATTTGTGGGGCCATTTGAAACAACTAGTTTACGCCACACCGGTCGACAGTGTCGAAGAATTAGTGGATAGAATAGAAAATGCTGCTCAAACTATTCGACAAAACCCCGCCGTTTTATCAAGGGTTCAAGAATCGCTGATTCGACGAGCTAGAGCATGTCTCGATAATAACGGTTTACATTTTGAACAGTTTCTTTAATGTTGTTTTATTTTTATTTTATTTTTTTCCTTTATTAAAAATTCGAGTTCAACTAAAATAACTGTTTACGAAGTTTTATTTCTATGAACTATTAGCAATAATTGCAGCAACAAGTTTTAACAATCAGGTTGCTATGCATATAATTTTTACCTGTAGGTTGTTGGTAAGGTAACTTTGTGCATATCAATGGCGCCGAGTGGGGTCAGGATTTTGGAGTTTTTACCTCTGCATTAAAATTAATAAAACAAAACGAAAACTTCTTCTACACATTTTCATGAAGCCGTGGTTTTTTTTTCCACCTCTATTTCAAAGTCACCCTGTATATAAAAGTTGAAAAATTGAAAATCAAAAATTTACAAATCGAAAAAATGAGAAAAGTGCAAAAATCCACTGAAAAAAGAAAAATTTGAAAATCAGAACACTGACAAATCGAAAAATTGAAAAAATTACATCAAAATTGAGAAATCGTGAAACTGCAAAATCTAAGTTGAAAAATCGAAAAATTGAAAACCGAAAAATAACAAATCGAAAAAACAAAAAAATTCAAAAAACAAAAACTTTCACATTGAAAAAAAGAAAAATTGGAAAATCAAAACACCGAAGACCCGAAAAACTGAAAAAATAAATAAAATAAAATCCCGAACATGAAACTACAACATAAATACAAAAATTGAAGAAATGAAAAATTTTAAAATTGAAAAATTAAAAATTGAATGAAAATTCGTGAAATCGTAAACTGAAAAATTGCAAACTCTAAAAACTGAAAAATCTGGAAAATCGGAACACTGAAAAATTTAAAAATGAAAATGAAATGACATGCTAAAATTGGAGAAACAAAAAAAAAGTAAAAAAGAAAAATTGAAAAATTTAAATCGAAGAAATGAAGGAACGAAAAATTTAAAAAATTAAAATTATAAAAGCAAAAAGTATAAAATTATTACATTGAAAAACCTGACCTGACCTGACCGCGACATCCGCACCCCAAAAAAATTAAAATTTTGTAGCCGCGTCTCAGTGGGTCGCATCGATCCGGCATCCTTTTTCTAATCACGCCCAGACTGAGCACGCTCACAATGGCCAATTTACAAGGTGGAGTTCATGTTTAATGGAGGCGCTCCGACCGCAACCTCTTCGCATTTGCATCTGCCGGATGGCCGGCTACAACTCGGAGCTTTCCCATTGGGAGATTTATCGCCGGCAACTTTCCCCAGATACGTGCAGCCGCTGTTTCGTCCTATTTATTCGGAAATTCAATTTCGGAAGTTCTGTATCAATTATAAAAACGGCGAACACATGCCGGATACTTTTATTATTTATGTCTGGAGGGAAAATGAAGAAAACGCAAGCACAGTTCGAGAAATTTATTTTCTGCCGAAGGTGTTCTGGACGAGGCAGGGCGGGAGATGCTCGGTCAAACTCACGGGGTTGACTTCCACGGCCACTAGTTCGTCCTGCGAGACCCAGCCGAGGTGCACCAGGTGCTGCAAACTCGAAGTTTAGTACGTGAAAAATGCTAGAAAAAAATTACGTCTACCTTGTGTTTCTTGACGGAACGGCAGTCGAATTGTTGAGTTTTGGCCCCTTCTTCAATTTTTTGGACCTTCGGAGACTTGTTCTTGTTGTCGATTGTCTGAAAAAAAAAACGTGGCTGAAGTAAGACCGCTGGAGACTTTTTATTTGCTTCCGCAAACAAGAACGAACAACAAGATCCGATAATACCGTGATTGATCACGAACGTCATTATACGCTTATAAGACAAATATTCGTAAATCCGCTTTAGATGGAAGCGCTACCGAGCACTTGTTCCGTCACTTTGCTTTTATGTTTTATGAAGAATGGGGCTGTTTTACGTTTTGCTCAAAACTTGTCCGATAAATCATTTTTTCTTGTAACTAGTTATATAGTTTTTTGTTCCGTTTGCTAGCCTGAGATACGGATTATTAAAATTAGATTTCTAACCCTTGACGATATCCTGGAGGTTTTTTTAGGAGCGTCACGAGTACAAAAATACACATTACAGATACAATTTCGGGGGAATTTGACCAACTTTGATTTATTTTATTTTTTTTTTATAAAAATGGTGGAGGCGCCAGAATAAAAAAATTATTGCTCCATATTTAACGACCCTCAAAAAACGTAAAAACAGATTCAAGGTCCTGAGAAAATTTTGGTTCGCACAGATGCTTTTTCTTGAGAATCTGACGAACTTCTAAATTTTTTGAAAAAATGGTGGAGGCGCCAGAAAAAAAAATTCATCATTAGATTCGTGATATTGAAAAAATTTTAGTTCAGATAGATGCTTCCTTGTGAGGAATGGCCAACTTCCAACTCATTTTTTTTTAATTCCAATTTTAGATTTTTCGGTTTTACAAGTTCGATTTTTCGATTTCTGAGTTTTCAAATTTTTAATTTTTCAATTTTTCATTCAGTGTTTAGTTTTAAAGTTTTTTACTTTCCGAAGTTTCCATTTTTCGAATTTTCTAAAGATTTTTTTTTTATTTTTTTTCGTTTTTCCCAATTTTAGATTTTTCTATTTTTAATTTATCAATTTTCCTATTCTTTGGTTATTAGTCTTCAATTTTTTTACTTTTCGATCTTTCAATACTCATTTTCTTTTACTTTTTGATTTTTCGATTTTCGGTTTTTCGATATTCGAATTTTATTTCTTTTTATCTTATTTTTCAATTTTCCACTTTTTGAATTTTAGATTTTTGTTTTTTCGAATTTTCGATTTTTGACATTTCGATTTTTCAGTTTCTCAATTTTTCCATTTTCAGTATTTAGACTTTGAATTTTTTTTACTTTTCGAATTTTCAGTTTCTCAAATTTATAACTTTTCGACTTTTTCAATTTTTCGACTTTCGGTTTTTCCAAAGTCCAGTTTTTTGATACTTAAAATTTCGATTTTTGTAATTTTTAGTTTTTCGATTCTATTTCTCAGTTTTTCGATTTTTCAGCTTTTTTATTATCGACTTTTTGATTTCTCGAACTTTTCGGTTTTTTGATTTTTCGGTTTTACAAATTGTTGATTTTTCGATTTTAGATTTTTCAATTTTTCCATTCTTCAATTTTTAGCTTTTAATTTTTTTACTTTTCAATGTTTCATTCAATTTCTGAAACTTTCGATGTTTCGATATTCCAATTTTCATTACATTTTTTGATTTTTCGATTTTCCAACTTTCTTAAAGATTTTTCAATTTTTTCAATCTTTTAATTTAAGGAACTTTCGATTTTCGATTTTTCGAAACTTCAATTTTTGATATTCAACGTCTCAATTTTTTACTTTTTGATTTTTCGATTTCTTAATTTGTCTATTTTTCAACATCTCGAAAGATTTTTCTGTTTTTTCGATTTTTCGAGTTTTTGATTTTTCGGTTTTACAAGTTCGATTTTTCGATTTCTGAGTTTTCGAATTTTTAATTTTTCAATTTTTCAACAGTTTTTAAACTTAAATTATTTTACTTTCTGAAGTTTCAATTTTTCGAATTTTTGAAGTTTTTATTTGAATTTTTGATATCCCATTTTTCGAATTTCCGATTTTTTCGTATTTCGTTTTTCCCAATTTTAGGTTTTTCGATTTTTGGTTATTCAAATTTTTGATTTTTCGATTTTCCTATTAATTCTTTGGTGATTATTTTTGATACTTTCCGATCCTGCGATAATCATTTTTTTACTTTTTGATTTTCCGATTTTCGGTTTTTCGATATCAAATTTTCATTATTTTTATTTTTTATTTTTCAATTTTTCCATTTTTCGCACTTCGGGGTTTTCCATTCTTCAAATTTTTTCTTTTACATTTTTTCGAATTTTCATTTTTGGGATTTTTGCATTAAGGTTTTAAGACTTTAACGTTTTTTACGATTTCTCAAGTTTCCATTTTTCGGGTTTTAGACTTTGAATTTTTTTTTACTTTTCGAATTTTCAGTTTCTCAAATTTATGACTTCGATTTTTTCAATTTTTACATTTTGTAGTTCTTAAGGACTGTTTTCGATTTTTCGATTTCTAGAATTTTCGATTTTTCGACTTTCGGTTTTTCAGTTTTTCGATTTTAAAACTTGTTGATTTTTCGATTTTTGACATTTCGATTTTTCAATTTCTCAATTTTTCCATTTTTCAGTTTATAGACTTCAACTTTTTAGTTTCAGATTTTTTCGAATTTTCAATTTTCGGATTTTTCCATTCAGTTTTTAAACTTTGAATTTTTTTACTTTTCAAATTTTCAGTTTCTCAGATGTACGACTTTTCGATTTTTTCAATTTTTCGATATTTAATTTTTCGAATTTCCGATTTTTCCAATTTTTGATTTTTCGATTTTTTGATTTTTCGAATTTTTGATTTTTCAGTTTTTCATTATTCAGTTTTTAGTCTTATTTTTTTTCTTTTCATTTCTAGAATTTTCAATTTTCGATTTTGAATTTTTTGATATTGAAATTTATCAGTCTTATACTTTTCGAGTTTTCTACTTTCTTGATTTTTAGATTTCCGATTTTTTCGGTTTTTTGATTTTTCGGTTTTACAAATTGTTGATTTTCGATTTTAGATTTTTCATTCGAATTTTCATTACATTTTTTGATTTTTCGATTTTTTCAATCCTTTAATTTAACGAATTTTCGATTTTTCGAAATTTCAGTTTTTCGATATTCAACGTTTCAGTTTTTGACTTTTTGATTTTTCGATTTCTTGATTTTTCTATTTTTCAAAATCTCGAAAGAATTTTCTGTTTTTTCCATTTTTCGATATTCAATTTTCCGAATTTAAGATTTTTCCAATTTTAGATTTTTCGATTTTGCAAACTGTTGATTTTTCGATTTCTGATTTTCCTAATTTTTGATTTTTCAGTTTTTCATTATTCAGTTTTTAGTCTTATTTTTTTTACTTTTTATTTCTAGAATTTTCAATTTTCGATTTTGGATTTTTTGATATTGAAATTTATCAATCTTATATTTTTCCATTTTTCTACTTTTTCGATTTCTAGAATTTTCGATTTTTTGACTTTCGGTTTTTCGAGAGTCCAATTTTTTGATACTTGACATTTCAGACTTTGTAATTTTTAATTTTTCAGTTCTATTTTTCAGTTTTTCGATTTTTCAGTTTTTTTTATTTTCGATTCTTTGATTTCTCAATCTTTTCGGTTTTACAAATTGTTGATTTTTCGATTTTAGATTTTTCAATTTTTAACTTTTAATTTCTTTCCTTTCGAATGTTTCATTTCTGAAATTTCGATGTTTCGATATTCGAATTTTCATTAAATTTTTTGATTTTTCGAAATTTCAATTTTTCGATATTCAACGTTTCAGGTTTTTACTTTTTGATTTTTCGATTTCTTGATTTTCCTATTTTCCAACATTTCGAAAGGTTTTTCTGTTTTTTCGATTTATTGATATTCAATTTTTCGAATTTCCGATTTTTCCCATTTTGAATTTGCCGATTTTTTGATTTCTCGGTTTTGCAAACTGTTGATTTTTCGATTTCTGAGTTTTCGAATTTTTGAGTTTTCAGTTTTTCATTAATCAGTTTTTAGTCTTATTTTTTTTACTTTTCATTTCTAGAATTTTCAATTTTCGATTTTGGATTTTTTGATATTGAAATTTATCATTCTATACTTTTCGATTTTTCTACTTTCTCGATTTTTAGATTTCCGATTTTTCGAATTTTCAATTTTTCCATCTTCCGCTGTTCCCAGTTTTACATTTTTCGATTTTTGACTTTTCGCATTTTTGATTTTTCAATTTTTCGATTCTACAGCTTTTCGTCTTTAATTTTTTTCTTTCCGATCTTTCAATAACACTAATTTTCGATTTTTCGAATTCTCGATTTTTCGATATTCTAAATTTTATTCTTTCTACTTTTTGATTTTGGAGTTTTTCGATTTTTCTACTTTCCGGAAGAATTTTCTGTCTTACTTTTTTGATTTCGATTATTCCTATTTTAGATTGTTCGAATTTTTTATTTTTCAATTTTTCTATTCTTCAGTTTTTAATCTTCAAGTTTTTTACTTTTCAATCTTTCAATTTCACGAATTTCCATTTTTTTAACTTTTCGATTTTTCGATTTCTCAACCAACTTTCAAATTTCTTTCAAAAATGGTGGAGGCGCCAGAATAAAAAAAATATGTTTTCCTTTATTTGACGACCTACAGCAGAAATAAACACAGATTCGTGATCCTGAGAAAAGTTTAGCTCAGACAGATGCTTTTTTGTGACGAATGTCCAACTTCCTAATTTTTTTGAAAAAATGGTGGATACGCCAGAATAAAAATTTCATTTCTCGCTTATTTGACAGCCTACAAGAAAAATCAAGACACATTCGCGTTTTTTTAATCCAGATACTTGCTTTTTCGTAAGAATTGTCCGACTTTTAAATTTTTGGTAAAAATTGTGGAGGCGCCGGAAAAAAAAACCTTTTCTCGCTTATTTGACTAACGGCTTAGAGCAAGACGTCAAAAAAATGGGAAAAAAGTGAAAACAAAGGACGAAATGACAGACGACTAAAAAAACCGATAAAAAAGGGCGGAAAAAAGTAAAATTAAGTAATGAAGTTATAACACACACATGAAAGCAAAATTAATACGAAAACATAAAAAAAAATGTGTAGAGAAAATTAAATGCGAACAAAGAAGTAATTTTAAG